GATTGGCTTTATTAATTTTTTTTTTAATTTTTTCATGGTATTAATAAAATACTTGGTAAATAAATATATAATATTATTTTATATTATAACTTTGATATTTAATTAAAAAAATAGTACCAAAAAAAGATAATAGACAATGTAGTGAATAAAATGATTGGACATTACGAGATAGTTCTCACTTCAATTTGTTGTGTGATTTGAATACTCTCTTTGTCAACAAATTCCTCAAGTAGTTAATATGATTGGCTTTATTAATTATTTTTTTTAATTTTTTCATGGTATTAATAAAATACTTGGTAAATAAATATATAACATTATTTTATATTATAAATTTGATATTTAATTAAAAAAATAGTGCAAAAAAAAAAAGATAATAGACAATGTAGTGAATATAATCAATTGATGAATTTGAATGTAAAGAATTTTTACATTGGAGAAAAATAAAGATAATATAATATAATAAAATTATTTTTCTTAATTAATTTATTGATAATAAATATTTTTTTTTAATAAAGACATTGTAGGGACAATGTAGCGAATATAATCAATTGATGAATTTGAATATAAAGAATTTTTATATTGGAGAAAAATAAAGACAATATAACTAATGAAACTATTTCTCTTATTTAATTTATTGATAATGAATAATTTTTTTGAATAAAAACATTGTAGATGCATATGTATTATTTTTTGTTGTAACTACTAAATTATTATTTAATTTAATAAAAGTAAAATAGAGTACTAAATATGCCAACTTTGATTGGGATGAGGTTCGAACTTCGATTTAAGACCTTTCTTATTGAAAATGAAAATTGAAATCAATGAATAAGTTAACGGTGAACTAATAGAAATTAACGGAAAAGATAATATTTAACGGAAAAGTTAACAGATAATCATATTCATTAAGGATAAATTAGTAAATCTTAAGAAAAAAATTAAAATCTGATCAATCTGAGCCATTCATTTGATTAAAAAACTTGACCGCCATTTTTTCTACCTATTATAGGCCTAACTCTCTTGGGCTCTTATTAGTATAGTAGATAGTAGATCTTATTAGTATAGTAGATAATAATAATAATAATATTAGATGTGTGGGGCGTATGTAATATGTAATGTAATGTTACTTTTTTTTTTTTTTTTTTTTTTTTTGGGTTGTACATCAAAAGCCCTCCAACTAGAGCACTACCTAATTCTGATATTCGTAGTATTATTATGAGCATTCGTCCAGAGTAGGTCTTTCATATCTTCCGGAGCATTGTCCAGAATGAGAGTCCCCAATTTTTGTAATGTTACTTTCAAGTAAAGACATTCACGTGAACTAAGTTGATGTTTTATTAACGTTAATTAAAGACAAAAGTGAGAAGATATGAGATATTGGAAGCACCAATCTTGCACGGCATCTTGAATTCATGGTTTTAGTTTATGTTTAATTGAAACTTGAAACGCATCGCTAGCGAACAACGATATGTCGCTTAGTGGTGTGATGTCTCCTAAATCCTACTTCATCCGTATCATTTGATGTGTCTGGTTCAATTAATGAGATTTAATTAAAATTATTTCTAATCTAATTTTTAATAATATTAAGTTTAGTATTAGTATACAAAATTTATATATTTAGAAATTACATTAAAAATATTATTAAATACAAACAATCAAATTTAAAATTAAATTCAAATACTAAAGAAAGTAAACAAAGAATAAAGAATTGATTTGACCAATAAATAGTAAGTATGATTGATAAAATGGACAGAGGGAGTAAATTATACTCTGTATTAAACTTCACGTGAATGATCCGGGATTACTGCGCACAAGAAGCCCCCATCTGTGATTCCGTAGGGCCACAACAAGATAAATTCATACGGCTTATGAACTTATTTTGGATTGGTTGACCTGCTAGGTAAACTCATAACTTTCAAGTATAAGAAACATATTTCACTAATCAGGTGTCCTCTTTTGAGGTGAATTATAACAACAATTTGGTCTCATTTTCTGTGTCTAGTTCGATTAATAGTACTTGACAAAAGTTATTTTTAATTTAATTTTTTAAAATATTAAATTTTTTATTAGTGTATAAAATTTATATATTTAGAAATTAAATTAAAAGTACTATTATACACAAGAAATTAAATTTAAAATAATTTTAAAAATTTTAAAAAAGTAATACAAGAAATACTCCGTATTAGTTTAACTAATAAATAGTAACATAGGTAAAATGAGACAAGAAATTCATTTTTAATTATAAAAGAGTTAATTACCGAAATGGTCCCTTGACTATAGCGAAATTATCAATTTGGTCCTTGACTATTTTTTTAACCAATTAAGTCCCTCAATTTTAAAAATCTTAACCAATTTGGTCCTCCGTTTGTTTGACGGTTAGTCAACCGTTAACTTGGGACCAAATTGGTAATTTCGCTATAGTCAAAGGACCATTTTGGTAATTAACTTTAGGGGTGGGCAATTCGGTTTAGTTTTCTCGAACTGAACTATACCAAACCGAACCGAACTAATTTGGTTCGGTAATATACCGAACAACCAAACGGTATTGGATTCTTGTATACCGAACAGTTCGATAAAAAATCGATCCGAATTGTTCGGTAAAAAATTGAACTGAATCGAATACTGTTTGATTTTTTTTAAAATAATAATAATAATAAATAAATAAATAAATAAATAAATAAATAAAAAGTAAATCCAAGTCCTTTACTGCTTGCTCTGCCATTCAGTTCACATTCTTACGGGTATCTCTCGTAAATGTTTTATTTTATTTCTTATGGTTTGTTATCAAAAGTTCTATATTATGTGTTATGGTGTTTACATAGTCCATATTCAAAGTCTAATATATAACAAAATAGCAATTCAAAGTTCAAACGGTATTCGGTTCGGTTCGATTTTTACCGAAGAAATTCAGTTCGGTTGGAGAATTTACCGAACCGTTCGGTATACAAGAATCTATTACCGTTTGGTTGTTCGGTACATTACCGAATCTAATTACTCCGTAGTTTGGTACGGTTCGGTTCGAGAAAATTGAACCGAATTGCCCACCCTTATAGTTAATTATCAAAATGGTCTTTTGACTATAGCAAATTATCAATTTGGTCCCAAATTAACGGTTGACTAACGATCAAACAAACGAAAAATCAAATTAGTTAAAATTTTTAAAATTTAGAACTTAATTGATCAAAAGAAATAATCAAAGACTAAATTAGTAATTTTGTTATTGTCAAGAGACTATTTCGATAATTAACTTATATAAAAATATAAAATGCGTTTAGCCCCACATGTTGGGGCTTGGGGGTAGAATTATGTCACTTCACGATCCACTTTTTCATTCGAAATTTTTAATTTTTCTTTTTCTATTACTTTACATTGAAGCCACCTACTACAGAAGTAGGCGATAAGCAACGCGTTTACGCGCTTAAGTTTTGTACGGATCATTTTCTTTTAATTTTAGATTCGTTTTCGATCTGGTCTACAACTTTTATTGTTTTTTAAAGATAAAATGTCCTTTTTACTATAAAAATATTTAAATTTTGTAAATAATAATGTCATAACATCATATTAATAGATTCTCACGTTATTGATGTTTGGTCACTAACACTAACGCTAACACATTTCTAAAGATTCCATCAAATTAAACCATGAAGATCACTGTATGATGGTACGTATAAATTAGATAAATTCAAACTTTTCGTAGCATAATTTTTTAATAGAGTGTTGACAATAATCGTACATGTAACTTAGACTTTATGTGAAAATACTTGACTAAAATAGTGTTGGCAAAAATCGGACATGTAATCTTTATATAAAAGAATTATGTTTCATCTATTCTGTCAACTCTTTCGGGACAAAAAAAAAAAAAAAAAAAAAAAACTTTAAAAACTATAAAATAAAACCAAACAAGATTCGTATTGATTAAAACCTTACCTACAATGCATGAATAGTCAAATGCGTATGACCTTACGCGGTTTGTTGAGTCGTGCAAAATTATTCTTTTAAATTTACTTTTAAAATTTTAAAATAATCTTCAAATAAGTTACAATTTTATTTATTTGTATAATTAAGTCATTAAATTAAAAATATGTGCAATTAGAGTATTAAAAAAAGAAAAAACAAGTGTAAGTTTTATTTTTATTTTTGGATTACCATCAAGCTTTACGCAAAAATTACTTACTTGGCTATTTAAGTGAATATTTAAAATGTACTTCAAGTTGATGACAAAAATAGTTTTAAAAAATTTAAAATATACAATAAAAATAAAAATATGAGGAACTGAGGAAGGTTACCTCCTATTTTTTAATATATATATATATATATATATATATATATATATATATATATATATATATATATATATATATATATATATATATTTTAGAATTTTGTAATTATTAATCCACCTAGATGGAAAAGAAGTCTCTCTAATTTCATCGAGATAAAAGAAAAAACGCTCCATAATAGTCGCCAGTCTCCGATCGTGATCGCATCCCGAACGTGATCGCCGATCATCGGCGTCGTTGTGGCCCTCTCTCTCGAACGTGCGTCGAGAGGGTGATCTCCCTAGTATTCTAGGGTTCTTTTTATAGCTGGTTTGTCAGATGGATATCGCAGTTGTGTTGTCTTGTTCTACGATTCTTTTGTTCTTATTGATTCCGATACATTACGTTAAAATGGATATTCATCAAATCGAGAAGCAATGTGCTGATCTATCCCTAGCCGAAGAAGAATCTGGCGGTCTGGAGGCACCTGATTTGCAACCGATCCCGGATATCACGATTCATCATAACCTGGTTGGGAGACTTCTCACGGATCAACAGGTACACTTTGAGCATATGCAGCAGGTTCTAGCGTCTGTGTGGCGTCCAGTCATGGGAATGTATGCGGTTTCGCTAGCCGATGACCTCTTCCTGTTCTAATTTCCCCACCCGAAGGATCTCCAGCGGGTTCTCGACGACGGACCGTGGTCCTTCGAGAATAACCTTCTGATTTGCGATCAAGTTCCGATGGGCGTTAGGCCAGAGGATGTCGAATTGGCGTCTATCCCGTTTTGGGTCCAGATTCACGGTCTGCCGACCATGTTTGCCTCCCAAGATTTCATAGCCAAGATAGGGGATCATGTTGGAGAGTTCATCACGGCAGATCCGTTTAACTTTGGTGGGACATGGAAGAGCTATTACCGGATCAGGGTGAAGATGAACATAACATCCCCTCTCAAGCGGCGGATGAAACTTACAAGGCGAGATGGATCCGTGCAATGGATCATGTTCAAATACGAGCGTTTGAGTACCTTTTGCTACTGCTGCGGGATACTGGGCCATTCAGATAAGTTCTGTAAAACGGTGTACGAAGAAGGGATTCTACCGGAGGCGTTCCCGTTTGGTGCGTGGCTGTGAGCCGGTCTAAGAAGGCAGGTAAAGCCAGTAGGTGCAAAGTGGCTCCTACCGGCTACGTCTATGTCATCGGCTGTGGCTACTCTTCCCTCGGCAGGGCCACCGCCGACGGTACTGGTGGATGCGGAGGAGGTAGGGGGGTTGCAAGGAGACCTGAAGCGTAGAAGGGGCGAAGAAGAGGACACTACAACAGGTAGTGATGTGCAAATGACCGACACACCAAGAAATCATGAGCAGGCGGGTTTGGCGGACCAGGCTCGCCAGGACAAATGAGTTTCTTGAGCTGGAACTGCCGGGGAATGGGTGGCACCCGGACAGTTCGCGAACTATTGGGCATCATGTCCAAAAAGCGACCCATGTTCGTTTTCTTGATGGAAACGAAGGCTACTGATGTACAGGTGGAGGAGGCACGTGTGAAGATGGGTTTTGATTGTAAGATTGGTGTGGAGCATACGGGTTTAGGTGGGGGTCTTGCTTTCTTCTGGAGGAGTGCGGATACGGCATCGCCCATGAGTTACTCAACCAACCACATTGATATGGAGATAACTCTGCTCGATCGCCCGGCTTGGAGGCTCACTGGCTTCTATGGTGAGTCGGATCGGTCCCGACGTCATATTACGTGGGACTTGTTACGGCAACTAAAGGACAGGTCATCCCTGCCGTGGGTCGTCGTGGGCGATTTCAACGACATCGCATGTCTTTCCGAGAAGAGAGGATCACATTCCCATCCGACCTCGCTTATTGAAGGGCTTAATGATGCTTTAGGTGACTGTCAGCTTGTTGATTTGGGTATGGAAGGCGGTAGGTACACATGGGAGAAGAGTCGAGGTACCGAGTCGTGGATGGAAGAGCGACTGGACAGGGCGGTTGCCACGACGGAGTGGTTGGAGCTTCATGACGAGGTGGTGGTTCAAAATATATACACTGTGTTCTCGGATCATTGTGCGCTGTCGGTAAGCTTTGACCCGGGGGCTGCCAGAGCACATTCTGGTTCTTTTAAATTTGAAACCGCTTGGCTCTTGGAGGAGGGATGTGCCAAGGTTGTTGACGAAGCCTGGCGCTTATCCGCGGGCTTAGACTTCCAGGAGCCAGGAGCGTCTTGCCATGTGTGGCGAGCGACTATGGAGGTGGGGAGGAGAACATCATCGGCGATTTGGCAACCGCATCCAAATTTTGCGCCGAACCTTGGCTCGTTTAAAGGAGGATCATAGTGTACAGGGCGTGGAACATTTCATGAATGCGGAGGGTGAATTGGAGGCTTTGCTTATTGCGGAGGAAATCTTCTGGAAACAAAGATCGAGAGCAGTTGTGGCTTAAACACGGCGACGCAAACACTAAATATTTCCATAAATCTGCAACGGCTAGGCGCAAACGCAATCTTCTATCACGGCTAAAAGATCCGGAGGGCGATTGGCAGGAAGGTGTGGCTATGAACACGGAAATCCTCAGGTACTAAGAAGCTATCTTTTGCTCCGGTGCTAGTAATGCCGACCTCTTTCACCATGTCCAGGAAAGGGTCACGGACGAGATGAAAATATCTTTGTCGCAGCCTTTCACAATTATGGAAGTGAAAGGGGCACTGTTTGGCATGGCCCCTGACAAGGCGCCCGGGCCAGATGGCATGTCGCCGGCCTTCTTCCAACATTTTTGGCCAGTGCTGGGACATGACATGTCCATGTTCCTACTCAAGTGTGTAAAAACCAGAACCTTTCCCCTGGGTCTAAACGATGCTAACATTGTTTTGATTCCAAAGAAGGCTACACCAATTCGAGTTGCGGACCTGCGGCCTATAGCCCTTTGTAACGTTGTGTACAAAGTGTTGGCTAAAATGATTGTTAACCGATTGAAGGTTTGCTTGGATCAAGTTGTATCTCAATCTCAGAGTGCCTTTGTGCCTGATCGGCTCCTAACCGATAATATTATTATAGCCGGTGAGATCGGGCACTTCCTAAGCAGGAAAACGGGAGGAAATGTAGGGTGGACTGCGCTGAAGCTAGACATGGCTAAAGCGTACAATAGGATGGAATGACCCTATCTGGAGGGTATGCTGAGGGCCCTCGGGTTTGATAGCAATTGGATTGCTCTTGTAATGCTCTGTGTCACCACCGTTAATTATTCCATTTTGGTTAACGGTGTGGCTGCGGGACATGTTCGTCCTACCCGGGGAATCAGGCAAGGCGACCCTTTGTCGCCTTACCTCTTTATCCTTTGTGCTGAAGGGCTATCGATTCTCCTGCAACAAGCAGAGGCCTGGGGTGACATACATGGGGTGAGGGTGGCCCGGGGTGCACCGGCCATCTCTCACCTGTTCTTCGCTGACGATAGTTTACTCTTTTTCAGGGCCAACCAACGAGAAGCGGTGAATATCAAACAATGCTTAGATCTTTACAGCTTGGCATCGGGGCAACTTATCAATTTTGATAAGTCCAATGCTGTTTATAGTCACAACACACCAGGCCCCACTCGGGACCTAGTTACGGGGATTGTGGGTGTTCAAGAGGCTCCGGACTTGGGTCGTTACCTAGGTCTGCCATCGGCCCTCGGGCGAAACAAAACGGCTGTGTTCAAATATATTGAAGAGAATATCCGGGCACGTATCGGGTTGTGGCAGCATATGTTTCTGTCCCGAGCAGGCAAGAAGGTACTTCTGAAAAGCATAGCACAATCTCTTCCGATTTTTACTATGTCAATCTTTGTGTTGCCTTTGCGGGTTTGTGACACGCTGGAAAAGATGTTCAACCGTTATTGGTGGGGGGGGGGGGGTGGTGGTAATGGGAGTTGCGGGATACATTGGTTATCCTGGGACAGGTTGTGCAAACCAAAATCGACGGGAGGGTTAGGTTTCAAGAAACTGCATGAGTTTAACATTGCTTTATTGGCCAAACAGGGGTGGCGCTTGCTAACTCAACCTGACTCGTTGGTAAGCCGTATCTTGAAGGCTAAATATTTTGCTACCGTGGATTTCATGGAGGCCCAGGTAGGAGGGAACCCCAGCTTTATTTGGCGGAGTATAATGGCCGGGAGGGCTGTTTTAGAGCAAGGCTTAGCCAGACGAATTGGTGATGGAACGGAAACGAGAATTTGGGGGTGGAACTGGCTCGCGGATGCTTCAAACAAACCTCTAATCACGCTGTGTGTGGAAGAATTGCGACATGCGACGGTTATTGGACTACTTGACGAGCATGGGCGGTGGGATGGTGACATATTGCGGGATATTTTTCACTCTGATGACATCCCCAGGATCCTTGCCACCCCAGTGAGTACTCACCTCAAAGACTGCTGGAGATGGCCAGGTGATTTGCGAGGTAAGTACACGGTGCAGAACGGTTACCGCCTCCTCGCTCGCGAGAGGGTGCAACCAACAGTGGATGTTGCGTTTCATGCATGGAAAACATTATGGGCAGCACAGACTCCACCCAAGTGAGAAATTTTCTGTGGCGATGTGCTCGTGACGTGCTACCGGTACGGGACAATTTGCGACTGAAAAGGGTGTGGATTGGAGGAGGTTGCCCAATCTGTGGCTATGCTACGGAATCAATGGCGCATCTCTTCTGTGAGTGCGACTTTGCGAAGCAGCTATGGGAGACCGATAATGTGCTACAGGGCAGGGGGTTCATCGCATTCATGGACCACATTCTGGGCACTCAAGGGGCTGATGATGCAGTGAAAATGGCCTCAGTTTTATGGACAATATGGCGCGCAAGTAATGACGCAGTATGGCATAATACGGTTCCATCTATTACCATGTCGCAACACATGATGAATCAGCTTCGTGTTGCTTGGAGTGCGGCTTACTTCAGGCGAGGAGCGTAATGGAGAGGACCAGGACCCATGAGCAATGGACATCACCGCCAGCAGGTTCGTTGAAGTGCAATGTAGACGCAGCCATTGCTGAGAGTGGGGCTAGCTTTGGCCTGGTTGTCCGCGACCACCTGGGTTGTTTTTGTGGCGGCAAAGAGGGGGCTTCTGGTCGATGAGCATGATCCATATGTGGCCGAAGCTCTTACGGCTAAAGAAGCACTGACTTGGTTGAAGGAACAAAGACTGAATAATATAATCCTAGAATATGATTGTTTAAATTTCTGTAACGCTTTTAATTCCCAGTCTGTTGATTTTTCTTATGTTGGTCTGATTGTGAAGCAATGTCGGGTGATTGCTAGTGACATAGGGAATGTATGTATAGCCCATGTCAGGAGATTAGCGAATCGCGTAGCTCACGAACTCGCTCGGGCGACTGGTTCTTTAGCTGGCTCGGAGGTGTGGATCCAGATCCCACCGAGTTGTATTTCCGATTTATTACGGTTTTAATGAAGTTTGCCAGTTTATGTTCAAAAAAAAAAAATCCACCTAGATGGCTTGATTGAAGTACAAACATAAATTTCTACTAAATGGTGAAATAATTTATTTTGATTTACGCAAAACCTATACAAACTATTCAAAAGTTTGTAATGTTTGAATAATACATTGTGACCCTATCCGGCATAAGACCTCAAGGTGGTAAACTAGTATAAGTCGCTCATGCGGCTATCAGGTCTCTCAATCATAATTTATCATCTCAATACCAACTAAACACAACTGTTATACAATGGACGGCGAGTGTCGAATGAAACTGTAGTATAATTGAAATAATATTTTAATATTACCATAATGAAATTACTGTGTGTGGATAATGAAACTGAAAAACAGAGCTCAATCAATAACGTATATTCTCAAATGAATTGTAGTATAACTAAAATATTACTTTGATGTTATAATGAAACTAGTGTATGTGGAAAATGAAACTAAAGTCCATAGTAATACAATAACATATATTGTCAAATGAACATGAAGTAAAATTAAAATAATACTTCAACATTGCTATAATTAAACTAGTGTATGAAAAATGAAACTAAAAAATAACGCTCATGCAATAATGTATATTGTTAAATGAAACTGTACTAGAATTAAAATAATACTTTGGTATTGCTATAATGAAATTAGTGTGTGTGAAAAATGAAACTGAAAAACAAAGCAATATTGTAAAATAAAACTGAAGTTTTTTTTTTTTTTTTTTCGAAAGCAACCAACTGGGGCATATATTAGAGAAAACCAACAATAGCGTCTGGCGGGATAGAATCCCAGTACAATGCAGAAGACTGAGCTGAAGCTAAAGAAGCATGAGTATGAACTATTAAATTAGCTGATCTAGGAACAAATTTAACTAAGCAATGCGCAAACTATGGAATAATGGATCTGCAGTCGTCAATAACATAGCCGGGTGTAGGAACGGATGGAACCTGTAGGCGCGGCTAAATAATGCTGCAGCAATGAGTAATCTGTGTGGAGCTCGATCGCCTGTTCGCCACGGCCTCTTAGCAAGGATAACGCCTCCTTGCATGCAAGGGCCTCACCCATCAAGGGGGAGAAACAAACTGGGAGGGGGCTATTGAACACCGCAATAAAGGAGCCGTCGTTGTCGAGAAGCATATAGCCTGCCGTGGCACGGTTCGTAGACAGTCAAAAGCCCACATCGAACCAGCACCGCCGAACAGCTGTAGTAGCATGCTGTGCAGTCTGCTAGACCGTGATGGGCTGGGCAGCGGCATGCAGCTGGGTATCTTGCCATGTGTGAACAGTAACAACGGACGCCGCAATGAGTTTCTTCGGTGTTGGCAGTAAGCAGTCCCAAACCGCACTGTTGCGGGCTCTCCAAATGTTTTACAAAATTGCAGCTACGAATATCATTTGGTTAGAGTATTCAAGACCATTCCAAACCAAGTATGAAAAACATTTGTTGTGGGGTTGGGAATTGGAAGGTTGGATTTTGTCCAAATGGAACTAGCAAAGCCACACGTCACCAAGGCATGCATGGTATCCTCATGATCAATTCTACACATGGAACAAATAGATAAGATCCACCTCCACTCTCTTTAAAAGCAAGTTGTTTGTGGTTGGGAGGATATCACTTAAAGCTCTCCACAAAACGGTCTTTCATTTTGGGGGGATTTTTAGTGTCCATAATGTAGACCAATTATCAAAAGAGCCCACATTACCAACAAAATTTCCAACAACGGTTTTGTAGCCATTCTTAACAGAGTAGCAACCCTTGGGATCCTCATACCAGTACCAAGAATCCTCATACTCCGGTGAAATAGGAATTTTCGAGATACGATTCACATCGTCATCTTCAAAAATATAAGTCAAAATAGAGTGATCCCAAGTACCTGTAACC